ACACACACACACACACACACACACACACACACACACACACACACAAAAGCATAATCGCATAATCGCACATTCAACCAATCCATTGTTAAAGACAGAGTGGTCAGTGTGTAGTTGTCACCTCCAGTAGTCTGATGGCATTACTGTGTCCTGGTTTAGGCAGGTTTTCAACAAGCCACTCGGGTCCCCAGGATATACATTTCTCTTTTATCCTACAACACAAAGATAAAGAGATCATAAAGATTTCAGTGTCCAATGAAAGCCTCCTTATCAAAAAGAGACTTGTTTTTACTGCTGGTTTTCTAAAAAGAAAATAAAAGAAACAAATTAAAGCAAATCGTCTATGAACACTATCACTAATAATGACCTACAACATTATTGTTTCCATAGATGACAGATTTATAATGGGCTTTAGTTTGGTTTCRTCAGTGGTGGGCAGCACTAAACCAAAAATTAGCTTTGCAATTTCTGAAGCACTTATGAAATTATTTTGGTCCGCAACTTCAAAAGCACTTATGCCATAGTAAAATTAGCAGAAGCTAATTTTAAAGTGCAAGTTCAATTTGCAACTTACTATTTGGCAATAATATATGCACAACACTGCCAACCAGCGGTGTATGAACCCTTTTACAGCTTAATCATTCAACTTAGGATTGCTGGGGATGTCATTTCCTGAAACAGACCTTTGGCTCCTGGTGTAAAAATTAAAAAGTTGTTGAGGATTGCTAGTTCAGCTGCTTCTTTGTCTTTTTCTTTTGTTTGGTGTAGATTTTTCACTAAAGAAGCATCAATAAAGTAATTTTAAAACTGTTTGTTGGAAAACTGAAGAGATGCATTCTGGGTACATGACAGATTTGATTTGTAATGGAAAACGAAAGCATGGAGTACAGGAAACTATCTTCCCTTCAAAATAAGAGCTTGGATTTTAAAGTTTTCCATATAGTTGCTCCAGTTGACCACTAGATGTCAGTCTTCATCAGCGTATCGTCTTTAAATTATTTCTGAGTCTCTAACCCCGTTGCTTTGACCAACAGCCTATATGCCACGGTCATTAATGACGTATTTCTGGTAAAATTCCAGCCACGCTCCTCCCTTCCACTTCCTGCTTACTGCCTATGTTTTTAGCTTTAGCTGCTAGTACT